AGAGTATTCCAATATCATGCTGCTGATAGATCACAGAATATCTTTAGCAAACTAGGAGAAGCCAATGTATCACTGCTGACTAGAAGGTTATTATTCCTCTAACAAAAAAGTTGAAAGAGTCAACAAAAAGTCAAGGGTCCACGGATATGCTAGCAAAGAATTTACAAATTTGTACTGCCATATAAGTAACCAGAAAAACTGAATGGTCAAATTTATGATACTAACTCCCTGGCTAACCTATAAATCATTCAGGAAATAATTTAAACAGAGCTGAAAACTTACGGTTTCTCTTGACGCTATCTACAAACCAGCCAATAGTAACAACAAAGAGACCGTTTCTTGTCCCATGTTTCAAAGTGTGCTCAAACTTACGTCCACATGAGCTGTAAGTTTTCGTTAAGCATCTCAAAAAGCACCATAAAATGCAAACAAGTGATCAGATATATGTTTCTATTACAGGATTAGAAGGACATAATCATGAATGGTTCTGTAGTCGAAACCAAAACACTACAAGTTACAATAAAGATGAACAGAAATGAGAAAAAGGATATCTGGACAACCAAATGAGTACATCGTAGGTGAAGGTGAGGACTGTACTCGCCTCCAAGTCTCTCCGTCGCTTCCTTGACTTGTTTTCTCGCATCTGCAAAGAAACAAAGCAATGTAACAACATATCATAACACCAAAACCAAAGTTACAAATACAACAAGATCACAACAGCATCTGAAATTTAAAGATTGATGAACATAAATCTCCAAACATCTGACTAATCGAGATTAAAAAGGAACAAATTCTTTATATTTACAAACATAAAACCAAAGTTACAACAACAACATCTAAAATTCTAGAAAAATAGTTGCCAAGTATGAAACTTGAATATTGATGAACATAAAAATTCAAACTTTCTGCCTAATAGAGATTGAAAAAGGAACAAAGTCTTTACCTTTGGATAAACCAGTGACGCAAATGACAAGAGAAGAGAATGGACCATTGGAGTGAGACATTGAAGGAGTAGGAGGAGGAGATTGTAAAACAGGAAACAATTTGGAACAACCCTTTGAATCAATCAAACCAACATTTCTTCTTCTAAGAGCACCCATTGTGATAGTTGATGGACAACAAACCAAACTCCAATCTCTGCTTTATTATAAACCCTTAATTCAAAATACGGAATCATTGCAAAAAAGAATCAAAATCAAAAGGAAATCACTTTCTCAGAGGAAAAAAAGAAATCGGGGAATGTAAGAAGAAGCATGAAAAGGATTCAAAGGTGAAAAAGATAGGTTTTTTTTTTAGGGTTTAGTGATTGTGGACAAAATGGTGCTTTAAGTGATGAATCCTCGGAGTGGGGGGAGAAAAAAGATGGTTACTTTGGTTGTCGGAGCTTTTTCGTGGGGTTAATTTTGGCTTTATCGGCGTGATTCCAAATTTGGAGAATGAGACCACTCTATTTCAAACTCGCTTAACACTTCTTGCAAAATGCAAATGATAACTTCATTCAAAAATAGTTGGGCTTGACTTGACCCGACCCTACCTGACCCGGCCCGACTTCTTATTATTAACTACAACAGCAAAACTCTTGTAATTATGGCTTTTTAATAAAAGTTTATAAAGTGGAGTGGTATTGTAAATTTAAAAATTAGTTTAATAGCTAAATAGTTTGTAGGATTTTGTTTTAGTTGTATGAGATCCAATTAAACATTTATTTTTATTTTTGTATGATTAGTTATCTTCAGATAACATTTGGCTTTGTATGAAAGATTGCTATTTTTGATGGGATAAAAGGTTAAAATAAAGATAAAATAAATTAGAGTGGTAATACTAATTAATTTTTAAATAAATTAATAGCAAAATAATACTTTGTAGGATTTTGGTTTAGATGGAGGAGAGCCCATTATACATTTCTATTTTTAATCTTTGTGTGATTACCTTTCGAATATAATAAAGTAAAATTTTCACAAAACACAAGTTCTGAAACTTTGACACGTGACTTCTATTCTTTTGGCATGTGTCATTTCTCTCTATTTTTAGTGACTCCAAATCTAAAATACACCATAATCATTTTAAATATAATTTAATTATTTGTATTAAAAAAATTATTTATCTAGCTAGAGACATATTTTTCAATATGATTTATTTCTATCATTTAAAGTAATATCTTAAAATCAAATTACTTTAGTAAATTCAAACAGCTTTTTTTCAATATTATATTGTAAGGCTAGGTGGAGGTCGGTTCCCACAACCTTCTCGGAAATAAATATGACTGATTGTCCTGACCGTTAAAATAAATAGTTTATATGATTTATATATTCATTATTTGTGGATATCTATATTGACATACTGATCTTTTTAGTAGTTAGTGGCTCCATCTTCTTCATCGGGAGAAACATGAGATGAAGATTGGAACCCTTAAAAAAGCAAAATCTTGCTCATATTTACTATTCTATTTTTTCTATTATCTCCTAAAATGTTTATTTTTCAAAGATAATTATTATGAATTTTTTATTTCCAACGCATAAATACCATAACAAACATAAATGATCTATCTCAAAACGTAATTAAAAGATCTTATATCAAGAAATATTTACACAAGAAGAAAACAAGAACGATGGTAACATTTATCTTATAAGGAGAAAACGATTAATTGTAATTAACGCCATTAAAATGAAAAAGAAAGGTTTCAAAATATCGCACTGAGTTTAAGAAGGTGAATCTCGAGAGAGATAAAAAAAACTTTAACTTGGAATTTTTAGTATATGATTTTTTTCTTCATCTTTTTTTTTTTCTCTATGGTTTCGGCTTAAGTAAATGATTAATTTTTAAAGAAAAAATTAAGAGGAGGCACAATTCTGTTTTTTTATAATCGTTTTCTATTTTTTACTGATTTTGATGTAATACTCAATAGACTCTATAGATTAAGACTAAATCTGTACGAATTATCTTTAAGTTTTGAATGAGTAAACTTTTCTTAAATTAGATTTTGCTGAAGCCTGCGCTAGATGAAAGTGAAGGTAGTGGTAGACGACTTAAGAGTGGTGGATGCGGGTTACCCACAATCTCTCTAAAGATCAATCCAGATGATATTCTCTCAGCTATACGTAGTAGTTGTTTTGACTTTTGAGCAACTAATATACAATACCTTAATATAAACGGTTTAGTCATATATCTCTTCGAAGCACACTTGATATAATAATTTTATCAAGGCCAATTAAAAATCATGTTACGTTTTGTTTTAATTAACAATTAAATTATGCAGCTTTCAATTATTATTATTTTTTTGGTAAAAGCTTTCAATTGTTATTAAGGCCAAGCAATTGTTTCTATAAATTGCAAACCTAAATCATGGATTTGGAAAATCTTATTAACTTACACCCATTTGTTATAAATAGTAGCTTTTTGTTTCGTTATAATACACATATCTACCTCCCATTTGTTTTTTTTTTTCATTCATAGAAAATTAAATAGGGAAAATCACATTCTTAACCCTCAAAGTGTAACTGGGTAGCACTTTAAACCTCGAAAGAATTCTACTAACACTATAAACCACCAAAATTGTTTTACTAACACTTTAAACCTTCAAACTAGTTTTTCTGTTTGCAAAGCTATAAAAAATGATGGAACAATCAATTTATGTTTGTTTAATATATATTTATTTAATTTAATTTAAATTTTAATTAATTTTATCATTTATTACAATTTTGACGATAAATAAAAAAGTAAAAAAAAATCATCATCTTCGACTATTCACCACAATTTTTCAGATTTTTATTTAGTTTATTGTATATGTTGACCATCTTTTTATTCAATTGATATTATGAGATTCATATTTATCCAGTGGAGAGAGTGAAAATGCTTATGGATCAATTTAAAAGATTGTTTCAACAGTTTATCAAAAAATTTCATGGTCGGACAGTGAGTAAACGAAGAAAATAAAGTTTTTTTTTTTTTTATAGATTTTTATTAATTGCAATAAATAATAAAATTAATTAGAATAGAAATTAAATTAAATAAATATATATTAAACAAACATAAATTGATTGTTTCATCTTTTTTATAGCTTTGCAAATAGAAAAGTTAGTTTGAAGGTTTAAAGTGTTAATAAAACAATCTTGGTGGTTTGTAGTGTTAGTAGAATTCTTTCAAAGTTTAAAGTGCTTTCTAGTTATACTTTGAGGATTAAAAATGTGATTTTCCCAAATTAACTATTTTCATCAATATTATTATATTATTGTGTGCAATTTTTTGTATTTGTACTCATTTTTAGTCACGAAGACCAAAATGCTATTGGTGGAGACAGACAAACTTTTAGTAATGGAATTTATTGGAAACAATTTTTATGAATGGTATTATATTATCCTACACTTATTAGTTACTACTCCCTCCGTTTCGTTTTAGTTGTCGTTTTATGATTTAAATTTTGTTTCGTAATAGTTGTCGTTTTAGGTTTTCAATGCAAATGTTTGGTAAAAATTCCAGTATTATCCCTATTGTTTTAATGTTTTGGCCAATGAAAAAAATTTATAAGATATATTAATAAAGGTAAAACAGAAAATTTAATGCTTTTCTTAATTTGTGTGAAAAAAACTTAAACGACAACTAAAACGAAACGGAGGAAGTACTAGTTAATTTTTATTTTTATTTTTGCACCTCTTTAAACTCCTATTAAAAAGAGTCTGTTTTTTTTTTATATATTTTGTAAACCAATTTCTCATTTTCACAATTTTCTTTTTCCACACATTATCTCTCTACCATATGCATCATCTATCTACCATATCCTCTCGTCTAATATATATATATATATATAATTTTTTACTCGCTGCAATGTTAGCATTGCTCTAGTTGATTTGATTGACACTTTCTCTTTTTGCTTATGTGCTATAAAAGCGACATTTTAATCATTTTCCCAACGGTGGAGAATGATTTACACCGCATAGACCCAGACTGTACAAATCACGATTATTCTTCTCTCTATGGTTCTAATGATATTGGAATATAGGATGTGAAAATTAACGCAATTTACATTCATTTTGGATATTAGGATAGGAAAATTCGAGAAACAGAGACTAGAAGTAGATAAAAAAGGCTGCCACTTCATAAAGTTGGCTTATACTAATATGTCATTTGATTTAATATTTAAGTTGTTTTGTGTTCTGATGATCTATCAATTGATCCTATATTCAAAGGCACTAATTGAAGACATGAGCTTTAGTAGATGATCGTACATAGAGCCACAAGACTTTATAGGCTTTGCGAATCTTTCTTCTCCTTTTTTTTTTTTTTCTCAAATTCATTCGATTTTTTAATGCTTACTTTCATGTTAGAGGACAAATGCTGGGGACTTAATAGGCATCTCGCAAACCAAGCAAGCTAGCAACATCCATTTTCCTCCAAGCATGTTACCAAAAACCACTAGAAAATCTGTAAAAGAGAGATTCACAAATAATAATACCTGAAAAAAGCTCAAACCGGAGTGACAGGTCGTTGGAAACAAAAGAATGGTACAAATGCTAAGCAGAGAGCATAGGGTTCTTAGTCATGTTTCTTGCTTCCGAACAGTTTCTCATATACATCAGATTTCCGCTTGCATGCGAAAGATTTAAAACTCACCACTATTGAGTCGATCTCTTGCTCCTTTTTTTCGTACACGATAAAAGCAATGAAGGCAATGGGAATTCCTGTTAAACAAAAAACAGAACAACAAAACTAGTTATTGTCGAACAATTATAATTCATATAACCGTAGTGTTGGCATTTATAGTAATAACTAGATAGAGAGAGAAATTAGTGTACCAATAACAAATATGTTGTGAAGAGATATGGCTCCAGCCAAACTCAATGCTAACAAAACGAAGACCACCTATGACATTAAAAACACCAAACCAATGTTATACAACATTAACTAAGATGAGTTTCACAACCAAATTTTGTCCCCATTTCTGCTTCAGGTTGGGATTGAGATATCATAAGACTGGAACTTGCCAGCGATAACTAGTTCAAGGAAAAAATACCTTGAAAAAGAAGCTCCAATCATTCCCCTGGCAAAGAGATCTTAAAGCTTTTACAGTGGTGTTCCATGAAGAGATCACTGACAATGAGAGGTGTTCTGATGAGTCTTTCGAGAGGTGAAACTGCGATGCAGGAATCTTTTCAACTGTATAACCAAATCTGCAAAATAAGCATCTATATTCATTTGTCCATAATCTAAATAGACAGCAATTGCTTATTTTATTTGTTCCTGATTGAAGAGTACAAGACACAGTGTTTCAAAAATGCTTCGCATACATCTTTCCCTTCTACTACGACATGAACATGATGATAAATTATGTGTTTCGTGAGAAACACATAATTATGTGTTTCAAAAATGCTTCGCATACATCTATATTCATTTGTCCATAATCTAAATAGATGTTATATTGAAGATTATACCTTCTTGTTTCCATTGTCGGAGAACTAGGTAAAGGTAGTTCATATTGCACATAAATGAAAATCTATCAAAAGCTGGCATTTCAGGAATCTTACATTTTCTCTGGTAGAATGCCATGGAGGAACAAAAATACCGATGCTACCAATAGAGCCTTTGAAAGAGCAGTTACGATGGTAGAACCAGTTGCAACAAAGTTATAATAGACACTAATTAGAATGAATATGGCAATGAGAGTCTGCTTTAAATCCTTCCAGAGAAGTGTATCTGCAACTGCAAAATCATGTCATAACAAATGAATCAAGACCAGGGTAGATTTTTCTAAGTATGAAAATATGTCTAGTTTTACTAACATCCTAAGCCTCTTCACATTAATATGGTAGCTAGGAACTTAACACCATCATTCTCAGGAGAGCCGTGCAGATGTTGAAGTTGTCTCAAGATTGTAAAATAAAAAGAAAATATCCAGTGATGCATTTTAAAAATAAACACTGGGTATCTTATCATGTGAGAGACAAATCAGCTGAGAGGAGAAGCATGTAAATGAAATATATGGTCATACCCTTTCCGCCTCCAAGGATCCTAGAAGCCTTGGATGGGCCCTCTCTTTTGGATTGACTTCCAGCTGTTAGGTGAGAGAATGAGTCTATCGTCCTCCGTATACCTTCCTGCAGGATCATCAAGGCATGCAATATATAAAGAACAATAAAGGCTTCAAATACATCTCGGTTTCAAATCAAATATTGTATAACCTGAAGTGGCACCACAGGAGCATAGCCTAGCCGATCCTTTGCTTTTGTGGAATCGAAAGTTCTACTGCACGAGAGAAGCCTAACTCTTGAAGGTGTTAGTTGTGGTACTTTCATCCCATATGGTCCCAACAGTTTATATGTCAGTTCAACCAGATGCGCAATCGGCATCATGACAAACGCAGGGATCTTTATGCTTGGCCTGCAAAATATAATACATTAGAAAGAACAGTAAAAGGGATGGTTTTAGTACAATGCGTTCGTTCTTAGATAGTAAAGCCGTCAAAAAAATTTTAACCAGTTCAGAAACCTATATGCCAAAGAAAATGGTTTTCATGAAATCAGAAAAACTTGTCAGGCCCAAAAATGTAGGCAGAAATCATTGGATATACCCAATTATTTTGAAGTATGTTATTTCCTTATATAAGCATAATAATCTTTCTATATCAAAGGCTCTGGACACTGTTTTATTCACTCCAGCTGAAATGGCATTTCTTCTGTAAAATATTGCTGTTTGATAATCTCATCTATCTCAAGTCTCTTCATCAAAAGTTACTCATAAAGCAAACTTAATTAAATACTACTTCCGAAAAGAAAGTCAGGTCAAGCTCAACTCAATTACCATGTAAGAACATAAATAAAGTGAAAGTAAGACGTGTTGTTCCCCTTCCTTGTGTATGAAAAATCTTACAAGTATAATAAAGCGAAAAAATGTGTCAGCTAGTATATCTTGATGACTTGACACTAGATGCAAACCCAAACAAAAAAGGGGGAAAATAATACCTCTCGTAACCAAGTCCTTCAAGGAGCTGTGACACAAACTCCCAAAATTTAATTGGCTCCATGTTGGTAATGAAATATGCCTGTAAATCCATTAACTTTCAGGTCAGCCTACAACTAGGATTTTCCTACAACATCATAAAGAAATTACCATCTCATTTGACGCCTTAATTAAATTTGTATTCAGGAATTAAATTTGATTCAAATACGGCAATAAAAATGTATATCATCTCTGAAGAGTTTGGCGAACATCTCAAACGGATCTATCTAAGCTAAACACAACAGAAAAGAAAAATAATATCAAACGAAAAAACCAGCAAGGCCCTTTGAAGTTCACATAATATTTGAGTAGATACAGTTTATCTCTCAGTTTTCATGGCATGTCTGAAACGTTTCTAATGCTTCAGGTATGCATTAACAGCTGTGCACAGAAATGCCTTCCTTATTTTAGTCTGGTTCACCAAATGACAGCATTTCATTTCAAACATTTAGAGCTAGAAAACTATTGAGACCACAAATAAAATGATGTGAGACTGAGACCAAACTCAACCTTAGAAAACGAAGGCATGTAATAAACTGAAAACAAATACCTGTCCAGCAGCTTTTGTAGAAACATCTCCTCCTGAAGCTAGAGCACGCTCAGCACAAACATGGGCATGAGCAACATTCTCAACGTAAGTGAAATCATAGAGATTATTCCCATCACCTATAATAAACTGGACATTAAAGAAGCAGAAAACAGTCGTATCAAATATAAAATTTATGAAAGATTTTATGTCCAAGAAGATATCCAAGCAAACAATGCATCTTAACCTAAATTCATTTTAGAGAGATCCCTGATCATATAAAGCACCTCTTAACTAGCAGCACACCATTTCGTAAGAGAGATAATTCCAATGCACATGAATCACAGAAACCTAAAAAAATAATGCCAGATAAAGACCAAATAAATCCTACTATGCAAGGTCATATTCTTAATTAGGAAGGAATATCACACCGCGCAACCAGGAACCCTCCCTTAATCATTTCTCAAGTACTCACACTATTGTTGCTTTCTCCATCATCCTTTGTATCTCGTGTTAGGCTACATTTAAGACCATTGAATCTATGCCACCTAGTTTAAGTTTGCAAGGATAATCCCACATCTTTTTGATGTCCAGACATATAGAAAGTTCAGTCCTCTAGATTTGTAGCTTAATGCTTCAAATTAACAAACTCTGGGGAGTCAAGACCACAAATTCTGCGTAAAACAAACATAAATTATTCTCTCTCTGCTCTACTAAGTCTAATGTAACTAAAAGATTTCACAGTTATTGCTTTTATAGTTTTATGGTATATTTTTTTCCTCTATTCCATGTGAATCAATCCGTCTTTCCTTGAAAGTCAATCATCTGACTTCTGAGAAAAACCTCATAGTATAGAGCTATCTACAAAATGTATAGCATGATCATGACTTTCAAACACGTTTAGAGAATAATATGTCAATAAAGGGGCAGCTGCCTTTGTGAGAATAACAAAAGTATCAAGAGAAGATAGAAAAGGAAAGGTAAAAGGAAGGTCAGCAGCAGATAGACGAGCAAAGCGATAGACAAAGAGAATAACCTAACCTTGGATTTTCCAGCCCTAGCAGCAGCAACAAGTGAGGGTACCAATAATCTATCACCGGGACCAAAAATACTGCTTGGACGTATGCAACAAGTGAGTAGTCCTTTTCTCCCATTCGCCTTCATGATCAATTCTTCTCCTTCAGCTTTAGTTGCTGAATATGAGTCATTGTGCTGAATAGATGAAGAATATATAAGTAACCAAGTTCCAAAACAAGCATAGAATCATCAGAGTTTCATATAATCTTATTAAAGCCATAGTTCTGTACCACAATAGAAAGACAAAATATCAAGGTCAAAGGCACCAGTTCAATAAATTAACACCAAAGTGTAAATAATACCTTAATTGGGTAAGCCATTGATTCACTACCATTTAAAATACCATGAACACCATCAAACACAACACTAGGAGAGCTAGTGTAAATAAGCCTCTTTACTCCAACATCAACACAAGCATCAATCACATTTTGTGTCCCTGTACATTAAAAACCCCAAAACAAGGCAACATAAACACAAGAACTAACAAAATTCCCAGTTTGCAAGATTGAAGTTTCTATTAACCTTGAACATTCACCGAGTACTGAAGCTGATGATTGTTGATAGAAGAATCTGGAGCTGCCATGTGAAACACCACCTCAGCTCCCTGAAAAGCTATGGATACAGGCAATTACAAAAATGCATGGATCTCAAACTCCAATGACAATCCATGATTTAAGATTCAAAAACCTTTAACGACTTGAGATTTATCTCGAAGATCAGCGGAGATATATTGAACACGACCAGATCTTAATCCTTCGTCGAGAACTCCGTTCTCTTCATGAAGATCAAGCATTATCGCCGGAGCTAAATCGGCGATGCGGACGCTGAACATTTCGTAGCGTACGAGCATTTCAACAAGATGCCTCGCCGCGAATCCTCTACCACCGGTAACAACGCACCATCGCTCATTCTCCGTAGCTTCCGGCGTCATGTCTTCACCGGAAAAGCAATAAGTCGTTAGTGAACTTTTGAATCGACTAGAAAAAATGGCGAAATCAAAGAAGCATTACCTTTGAGAGAGAGCTTGAAAGATGTTTTCAGGAGAAACAGTGATTTGGTGTGTGATGCGTCCCCACACCTTTCTCTTTTTTTTTTCATCCGAAATTAATTAGAGCTTTTTTTGAGTCATTCTCCAGGAATGTTGTTTACATATGAAGCGGTTCTGCACAAATTTTTCGTGCCAAATTATCCGCTTTTACATTAGCATTACGAGAAATTAAAGATAAAGAAAAGAATGAAAATCCTTCCTTGTCGCTCTGAAATTCCTTCAAGTACACTGAAAACGTCGGCCATTCGGTTGGAAAATACACTATTTTCACCAGATCAGAACAGTCCGTAAGGAATGCTACCTCTTGATTATCTGCACCGATCATACACTTCATCGCCCAGAGAAGAGCCTCGAATTCTGTATGTAATGGAGATAGACTTCTACGGAGGTTGGCAGCTCCCAAGTTTGGCGGCTCTCCGTTTGATGATGTACAGAACCATCCTGTACCAGAGAACTTATCACTTTCTTCCCATGATCCATCCACAAAACAACGACATCCAGAATAATTCGAATCAAGTGAAGCATCCCCCACTCGAGACCGAGTTACCAATTCCACAATACCATTAGTTTCATGATGAAGCTCGATTTGGGCTGACTGCCACAATTGTGCTTCTTTTTCCGCTAACCGTAATAGCTCTAACGGATCTTTATCAATATTTTCAAAGAATTTTTCATTCCCTGCTTTCCAAATATACCAGATAATCCATGGAAACGCTGAAGAATTAAATTTCGAAGGCATTCTCCAAAATAAGTGGTCCATATTCGTAAAAATAGACACCGTTGGAAAAATTCTCATTGCCGTAGGAATCTGGGAAAGTGCCCACACCTGTCGTGCCGGATGGCATTGAAAGAGTGTATGATTGATTGTTTCCACTGGTTCACCACATCTGGCACAACCTGTGGCACAATCAATACCTCTTCTCCACAAGTTTTCCGTAACATGGTACACAACCCGTTAAGATTTGCCATAAAAGATGACGTATCTTAGGTGGACATTGCACTTACCAAGAATGTGCTTTTAACGGTTTGATGTCTGGGCCAATCAAAGATAAATTGGTCTCCAACTTTTCTAACATGGTGGTATGATATCCCGATTTGACTGTATATTTTCCAGATTTTGTAAAATGCCAACCTAGTGTATCTTCCTTAGTTGGGGCACCCACAGGTAGGGCACTTATTAGGGCGACATTTTCTGGATCAAAAATCTCTTCTAAGAGATCAATATTCCAAAAATTCGACTGATTATCTATAAGATTGTGAACTTTTAACAATGGGTCAACACGTGAACCATTACTCTTTGCTGGTCTCGGGAATTGAGCTGGAATCCAGGGATCCTCCCAAACTGAGATGGATGTCCCCGATCCGACCCTTTTAATAAGTCCTTTATTAACAGAGATCTAGCTGAACAAATACTATGCCATCCATACGATGGTGAGTATGATTTTATATTTTCCAAGGGATTGGATTTCCGAAAATACCGCCCTTTAAACACCTTCGCGAAAAGAGAATCTGGGACCGTAATCAACCGCCATAATTGTTTGGCTAATAGCGCTGAATTAAAATCGTATACATTCCGAAAACCTATCCCTCCTTCCGATTTGCTATTGCACAACTTGTTCCAAGCCATCCAATGCATTCTTCTGGAATCCCCATTTGAACTCCACCAAAATTTAGCAACCGCACTAGTAAGTTTAGAAGTGATTGTTTTTGGTAGCTTGAAGCACGACATAATATAAGTTGGTAATGCTGTAGCTACCGATTTAATCATTACTTCTTTTCCACCTTTTGATAAAAATTTTGCCGACCATCCGTTAATTCTTGTTTGCAATCTATCTCTGACAAAAGAGAAAATTTTTGTTTTAGATCCACCCAAACTCTCCGGCAAACCGAGATAAGAGCCCATCCCACCAATATTAGTGATTCCCAAGGTAGATTTGATTTCATCCTTGATATCCTCGTGTACCTTATGTCCAAACTGAATGGAGGATTTTAAAAAATTAATCTGTTGTCCTGAGACCGCTTCATACTTCTTTAAAATCCCTAAAATTACCTCACACTGGTCCTTGTTTGCTTTACAAAAGAATAAACTATCATCCGCAAATAACAAATGTGAAACCGAAGGACTTGTATTTGCTATCTCAATACCCGTAATTAATTTTCCCTTTCTGCTTTCCGAATATTCGCAATAAGCACCTCTGTACAAAAGATGAATAAATAAGGAGATAGCGGATCTCCTTGTCGTAATCCCCTTTCTGGTACAATTAGTCCTCTAGGTTGCCCATTAAGGAGCACTCTTATTGAACTGTTGTAATACACCACATTATCCATTTAATCCATTTCTCGCAGAAACCCAATTTTCTTAGAACCTTCTCAACAAAAATCCATTCCACCCTATCATAAGCTTTACTCATATCAGTTTTAATGGCCATGAATTTTCCTTTACATGACGGGTTAGTTCTCAACCCATGAAACATCTCTTGTGCAATAAGTATATTATCCGAAATCAACCGTCCTTCGATAAAAGCCGATTGTGTTTCCGAAATCAGTTGTGGTAAAACCGTTTTAAGTCTTTGACAAAGAATCTTCGATATAATTTTATAACCCACATTGCATAGACTTATAGGCCGTAATTCCGTCATCCGTGTCGGTCTTTCTGTTTTTGGAATCAGACAAATATTTGTCGTATTTAACCGTTTGTCGAAAATTCCATCATCTAAAAAAGAATTAACCAGAACAATAAGATCTGATTTAATTGTAATCCAAGCCTTTTGAAAAAATAAGACTGTCATGCCATCGGGCCCTGACGATTTTTCTGGATGCATCATAAACAGAGCTGATCTCACCTCACTCTCCGTAGCAGGTGCCGTTAGAAAATTATTAACCTGATCCGTAATCAGACTTTGTATTTCTGCCAAGGATTCCTCAAAAGCCTCGGGCTTAGTTGTAGTAAATAGATCCTTAAAATAAGAAACCGCTATATTTTGGACGTCTTTATCCTCTGTAAACCACATCCCGTTTTCATCATGCAGCCCCGTAATCCGATTCCTTGCCGTCTCTATTTTGTTAGAGCGTGAAAGTACTTTGAGTTATTATCTCCTAGTTGCATCCAAGAGCACCTACTTTTTTGATACAGTACAATTCTTCATCTCGATAAGCTTCTTTCAACCGTAATGTTAATTCTGTAATCTCTTCCCCTGATCTCATGTCATCCCTCTGTGCCACATGTAATTCTGATTTAAGTTCCTCAATTGTTTGCCGCCCATAAGGAGTTAGTTCTTTTCTCCATTGCGAAATAGCCCGCCTACAGTTATTTAACTTTTCCACGAATTTTTCTTTTCCTAATTCAGAATCCGAATTCCAACCATTTGAAATTTCCTCCATTAATCCTTCCTTTCCAATCCATCTTTTGTCAATCCATCTCTTCCAATCTATTTTTATTGTTGCTGATTGGTAACTAAACGTTTTTATAGCTGTAAATTTTATCAAAATAGTGCAAAACTCTAAGAAAATGTTGTACAAGAAAGCAAACTGTACAAAAAAAATTGAGAGTAAAAGTTTTAGTAGAGTTTTTGAAAAAAAATTTGTGATTGATAAATTTTAAATAGAAAATTAGAAATAAAGGATAAATATTTAAATATTTGTCCATATATGCATTCTATAAATAAATGTGTATTCTTAAACTACCTTTTGCATTAGATTGAACCAATTGTTTTTTTTTTAATTAAGAAATATTTGTAGAAAAATGATGAAGAAGACATGAGGATATATAAAATATCAAAAATATGTCGGGTTTTTTTTGATGTTTTGGATAGATAAAATTTGATCTATAAAGTTTAAGAATACACCTTCTGAAATTTAAAATGTGTATTCTATACACTATACATATTCTACGATCTTTAGATTATGTAGAACATAATCTACATGTTCTACGAAATTTAGAAGTCAATTATGTTCTACGGTATTTAGAATACTAATTTCTACAAAATTTAGAATACATATTCTACATTTTTCTCTTAGTTCTATGAAAATTAGAATATGTTTTCTAACATTTAGTCATGTTCTAAAAATATTAGAAAACGTATTCTTAAAAAATTTCTTATATTCTATAAGAATTAGAAAGTATATTTAGAATTTCTTAAAAGATACAAAATCCTAATTAGGACACACGATTCATCTAGCCCTTGATTATCTCGATTCTCACATTATGTCGTCTTGTCAATAAGGACACACGACACTAGATTATTCCTATCAGCCTAATGCATCAAAACATTTTCTCAAATAAACAATTTTTTTAAAGTCTGTTGACATTTGGACCTCTTCACACTCTTTGAGGTCACAACCTTATTCTCTCTTTGTTCTCTTTAGTGCTTTGTATCACTCACTCACTTTAATACAAACACAAAGAGAACCTTGTTCTCTCATTCTCTCAAGTCTTTGGTTAGATTCTTGTTTCAACACAAAGACATAAACGTTTAGTAAGAGAGAAGAGAGAAAACATTAATTGTCTACATTTTGTTTATTGGATCAAAGGATGATCTTACACAACACAAACAACACATACATATAGTGGTTCGTTTCCACTTACCACACATACTTGCACCCATACTTCTACTTGGACCTAGACTTACTTCTAGACATCATTGCCTAAAGTTTACTTACACAAGCAATCTTAACAACTACAACAACTACTATAGTCTTGCTTTAGACTAACTACAACACTCTTTCTTCTTTGGGCCTAATTTAACTAATAGCCCAATACTAACATAACTACAAAACACACAAAGCCCAACTCTTTCTTCTTGTTGACTTGTGTCTTTCTTCTTGTTGTGTCGTTGACCACTCTTTTCACGACACCAATTTCTTCTCTTCGACGACTTCTTCATCTTGCTCCTCCTTTGCTTTGCTTCTTCTTCTTTGACTAATTCTTTTCTTTGTTGCAGGATTTAATCAAGAACTCAAATCTCAACAAAGTCATTGGTTTTGAATTCCCACGCACAAATTTGTTCCAGATGTTGTGTTTTGGTATTCAATTTATTTATAATGTGTATAGATAAAATCATG